GCTTGGGCATGGTGAAACCAATCTCACGTGGCACCGTGGCAAACATGATAATTTTAAATGTAATGATACGGTAGATAATTTTTATATAATTTTTAATATAATTTTTTCATTTTATTAAATGACTCATTAAAATGAGTATATACATATATATATATATATATGATATTATGAGTCTAACTAAAGTAAAAAGAATTAATTAATATATATAATATATAAGATTATAAGAAAAAATTATACAAGGAAATTCTCTCAATTAATTAGTTTCTCAATTTTAATTAATTTGTGGATCCCTTTTTAATCTATGTAAGCAAAAAAAAAAAAAAAATTATGTGGAAGTCAAATCACCATGTAAGTACTTGAAATTTGGTATTCTTAATTTTATTTTTTAACTTTATGACTTTTTAATATGAATTTTAAGTAAAAATATAACAATTAAAATATATAATAATTAAAAAATTTTATATGTAATTTTTATTAAATATTTTTATTTAATAAAAAAATTTAATTATTATTTATATAATATATTAAATTTTTATTTATAATTTATAAATAAAAAATTAAAAAAAATTAAATTAGAACTATTAAAGTAGAACGTGGCTAGTATTATTTATGAAACTCTAGATAATAATTGGAATGGAAAGAATTTGAATATTTTTAAACTTAACATGACATGTAATTGAGCACTTAACTGAGGAAGGATAAAATTACAACTTGTTTAAGAATTATTTTGATATTATAATAAAAAGGATTTATTTTGATATTTTTTAAAGTTTTAAGGGTAATTTTAGTTATTTTTGCCTCAAGAGGACTATGATCTAGCTCAAAACTAAAAGTTTAAGTATCAAAGTAGTAACTCAATTTTTTTTAAACTTCATCTGGAAAAGGTTACTTCTTCGTTTGGTTTCTTAACTTTTTCAATTGGTACCAAAATTGTCATTGAGCATTTGTCGTTATTTTTGTTCCCTGAATTCTTAACTTTTAGTACACTTTTTTTTAAAAATTCTGTCAACTATGATTCTTTAAAATTTTATATTTTACAATTTAGGTTTCTCAACTTGGAGATGAAGCCACTAAACATTCATGAAAGTAATATTTAGAGGTGTGTGATTTAGAGGTTGGAGAACAGCTACCAATTATTGGTTCTAATCAAACAGTTTATATATTTTAAATTATAAATAGTAATAATTATTAATTATTAAATATTAATTACTTCTTCTGTTCTTAAATATTAGTCGTTTTAGTGGCCAAAATTTGTTTCTAATTATTTGACATTGTAAGATTTAGAGGTTGGAGAACAGCTACCAATTATTG